AGACATCTCAAAAGGACTCCGTGTGAGCTTCAGGGAAAGGAGGAAAGGACTGGTTTAGGAGACTGCATTCTGTTGCATACTGGGTCATACAAGAAGAAAAGGCTGCCAGAAGCCACAAGTGAAGTCCTTCTGTGATTCTGGGAGTATTTATAGGGGTTAATACATATGGAAATTTCCACAGTCATCAAGAAACCCTTTAAAGCCTCCATTTCTAGCCTTATTAACACCAAGGATCTTGGTGTTTCAGCTCCAAGCAGAGAGGTACCTCTGCTATGTTAGAGTTGGCGGATCCCTATTGTCCCACCTGGAAGGTGATGGGTGTGGGGAAGGCTGAATGGTGTATTGGAAAGAATTCTGCATTGGAAATCGGAGGGCCTGGGCTTCAGTCATAGCTATAGCAACTACAAATCAGGTGACTTTGACTGTTAATACTAGGGACAAAAGCGATAGCCAGTATTGATCCCCTCCTATGTGCCAGCTATGGAGGAAGATGATTTATGTACATTATTTAATGTCTCTAAATTTCAATTTTCTGAGGCTATCACCTTCAGAAACTGCCTCAGAGGTCTCTAATGAGAACTGAATGAAAATACCAAGTTAGAAAAGGATTTCTAAATTGTAAAGAAGGGTTGGAATTTACAGGGTTTGCTATATGGGTATATGATTGAGGCAAAATCTTTGTGTCTTGCATTTTGAATTGACACAATAGGCAGGAGATAAACAGGCTCTGTTGGAGGGTAGTAATAAAAATTATTTTAAAAATGCATTCCATTTCTATTTTTTTTCAGTTTTGTTTGTTGTTTCATTCCATGCCTTGTCTTAATTCACTGTTGGGTCTATGCAAAGCATGGTCTACTGAGAGCATTTTGCCTGAATTGATCAGGCAATCCTGATCAAACAAACTGATGAACTTTCCTTTTCCATTTTTGAATCAAGCAATTGGTTAAACTGTCCATTAGTTGCGTTCACATTTTGCATATTTAACCCAAGATTTGATAAAGTTCCTAATAGAAAAAATTAGTGATATTTATTGAGCATTTAGGTGTGACAGACCCAGTGCTTTTATTGATTTATCACAAGGACCGTATAAACCAGGTTCTCTTATTACTTCCACTTTATCGATAATGCACCTGAGGCTTAGAAAGCTTAAATAACTTGTCCAAAGTCAAGTTGCTAGTAGTGACAGAGTGGGATTTAAACCTTGGCAAAACATCCAACTTCGGTTCCAATTAACCAGCCATTTCCAGCAAATGTAATTTGGCATTTGGATTACCTGGAATGATCTCATTATATAATTTGGGTCTCATAGGACATACATAGGTCAACTTACTTTGGCACAGACCATCCAAGTGCTTAAAGTTAGTTTAATGGTAAGTAGGTTAAACAAATTTGAAATGCAAGACTTGTTTTTTCAGGCCACAGCTCCTTTGTAAATAATTCATTATTCACTCAACAGCTATGCTCAGTGCTAGCAGTCAGTGAGGGCATCGTGGGAGATATAAATACAGAACACATTCTAGGGAGAGAGAAGCGTGATGCTGGAAGGGTGTAAACAAACTGCCATTGGCATTTGAAAAGAGAAAGGTTTGTTCTATTGCAATGAATCAGAAAAGGCTTCGTGGAGTCCCTCTACCTAAAATGTTTTCTCTCCCAGACACCCTGTGGCTCACTCCCTCATCTCTCTCCAGGCAGCTTTCTCTGACTACCCATGTACAGCCACACCCCAGCATTCCTTCTCCTGCTTCCTCCTTTGCTTTCTCAGTGGCATTTTTCCCCTCTTGGCATACTATGTGTTTTTCTTATTTATTGGCTTCCTGTCCATCTCCCCACATTAAAACATAAGCTTCACGAGGGTAGTTTTTTTTGGGCTGTTTTGTCCAATGATGCACATCTAGTTTCAGAAATACCTAACACAAGTGGATAAAAAATGCTGTGGTACATTTACACAATGGAATACTATGCAGCTGTAAAAAGGAAGAAACTCTTTGCAGCAGCATGGATGGACCTGGAGAGTATTATGCTAAGTGAAATAAGCCAGTCAGAGACAAATATCACATGATATTACTTATATGTGAAATATAATGAACAAAATAAACTGATGAACATAACAGGTCTAGAGGCCTGGATACATGGAACAGACTGACAGATGGCAGAGGACAGAGAGGTGGGGGAACAGGAAGAGATTGACCAAAGAACATATATGCTTATATGCATAACCCATGGGCACAGACAATAATGTGGTAAAAGCCTGGGATGGGGCTGAGGCTGGTTGGAGGGGGAAAGGGGGCTCTATGGGGGATATCTGTAACACTGGCAACAATTTAAAAAATGAAAGAAATACCTAACATAAGGTAGGGACACAGTACATGTTTGTTGAATGACTGGAGAAAAGAAGACTTAAGCTGAGCCTGAAGAATGGATAGATTTTAGCTAGGTATTGGTGAAGGGAAGAGAATTCCAGGTAAAGAAAATGACTTAAGTAAAGAATGGAGGCAGCCTTGAGGGGTATAAGATGAACTGGAAGGCAGACTAGGGGGGTACTAGGCATAGAGGATGATATTGTTGGCATAGGAGTTTGGAACAGAACCTGTGAGAGAGGATACACAATACCATGTGATAGGATCTGGCTATTGAACCAAAGGAAAGCTAAAGGTCAAAGGTGTCTAAAGTCATACCTCAGGATATTAGGTAGTGATTTGGTAGCAAATTGTTCTTGTAATTAAAAATTTCTCTGAATTTTTTTACATATAGACACACCAAATCCTCTTATTTTTTAAGGTTTGAATACATCACACTATAATTACGAAGCTTAAATGATCACATCTTTGTCATTGGAAACCACTTCAAGTTGGTTCCTCACTAGTCTTTGATAGCTCCCTTGCTTTTTGGTAGATGGGATGGTGTAGGCCAGTGGTGGGCAAACTGCGGCTTGCGAGCCACATGCGGCTCTTTGGCCCCTTGAGTGTGGCTCTTCCATAAAATACCACGTGCGGGCGCGCATGTACAGTGCGATTGAAACTTCGTGGCCCATGCGCAGAAGCCGGTATTTTGTGAAAGAGCCACACTCAAGGGGCCAAAGAGCCGCATGTGGCTCGTGAGCCGCAGTTTGCCGACCACTGGCTAGGCTTGTCTTGAACACTTTGTGTCACACCTGGAATCTCCCATTTCTCTAATATGCCCCAGGTTCTTTTCATGAGAAATTATACTTTCAAACCATAGCTTGTGCTAGGGATGCTCTTGGCTACTTAGCCTGTTTCTAGGCCTTTTCAATGGACAGAGCTAGGGGAGGTATGTGTGTATAGACACATAGATACATATATTTTGCAACTTAGGTACATTAAGTACTCTTTACATTTTTAGAGGAAACTGCTCATAGCTTTAAATATGCTCAGCTATGCTATTAGGCAATGAAAGCAGTAAGTTATTAAATGAGGTCTTAGTGACATGAAAGAATTAGTGCAGCTTCCTCAGGCGACTTACTTATAAAGAGGCACCAGGAGAATTTCATTAACAAATTAGTGGTGCAGTAAGTAGAAACTCAGCTCTAGCATTTTTTTTTTTTTTTTAGCTGTTATACTTTAGAACAGCAATTTTCAACCTTTTTCATCTCATGGCACATGTAAACTAATTACTAGTAATTACATTTTCTTTTTTGCCAATCTTACAAAAAATAGGTATGATTTTAATTCATTCACACTGGACAGCTGCTGTTGTGTTGGCTGTTGTCATTTTTTATCTGACAATCTAAAGGAAAAGAGGTCAGTGTCCCTGACTCAGGTATAGCAGTTGAATATCACTGCTTTAGAATATGAAATCACCAGGCTGCATTAGGGTGACCTTTTGAAGTTTGCAAATTTTTTATTGGAGAAAGCACTGAATAACCAGTAATGCTAGTTCTGGTGTCACAGCCACAAGCAATGACAACTGTAGTCTATTTATGATGACCTTGTGGCATATCAAGAAAATTTCTCACACTGTAATAATTCACTGGAAAATTAAATATAATTGATTTAATCACACAGAAAATAAAAAAAAGTACATTCAACTGTGGAAATGACAAGTCCTTGACTTGACTTTGCTTTTGAGCAAGAGTGTACTACTTTACTCACCATTTTTAAAAAAAAATTAAGGTTGGGTTTTATAGAACTTTAAATCCCAAAGTCTTTCCCATCTCCAATATAAGCTACAGGAAATAAATGCATTACCATGGGGATTCACCCTCAAACAGACTTTATTGTTCACATATTTTGAAATGAAGAAACTTTAATAAAACAGTATCTTTAAAAACTGTGCTAGGCTATGAAACACCTAATAAGTCTCAGATAAAATACTATTTTTCATATGATGAGTGAATTTTGAACCAAAAAAAGTACCCCCTCCAAACTAAACAAAATTATAGTTGGTCATAGGCATTGCCTTTTATTTTTAAAAATCATATATAATATAATTTT